TCTCCCAGGCAAAGCCACTAGTGTTTTTCATTTGTGTTAACTGGCTGTAAGTGCCTGCAGGGTCCGTGCTTTGATTTACTGTGGATGATGGGCAGTACAGGCAGAGACATGTTTAGGTATAATTATTATAGTAGCCAGGCTCATACACCAGGAACAACAGCAAAATCAACAACAGCTCAATAAAGCAACTGAGAATTTTCCAACACAAACCTCTACATCCCTCACATCATGGTCTGCTCTTGATTCTTTCAAGAAAAAAAAAGAAAAAAAAAAAAAGTGAAATCGGGAAGTTTTTGAGATCAGTGGTAGCCTGGCTACTAATCCCATGGAACACCAATTTCACCCAAAAGTACTGTGTATATTATAGCTTTCATATGAAGTTAAGGAGAAAAGAAGCCAAGAACAGTGTGTCTCAAATTAATAGATGATGCATGTTCTAGTCCAGGACCCAGCAAGTCCTGTCTCCAGCTCCCAGCTCAGCCCACAAGTCCAAACACTAAGGAAAATATAATACTTAGGGTTTAGAAAACACACAGATCAAAAGATGTATTAACGGTTCTCATCGACTCTTTGAATTGCACTTATAAAAAAAAAAAAAAACAACAAACCCAGAAGATGGAAGTCCAGGCAGATCCAAGAGCAGAGGTCTGAACAGCAGCCCAGTAGGGTTTGCTCAGATCCCTCTTCACGGCACTGCCATCTTTTGCATCCTGACAGTACTAACAGTGCCCAAAACTTACTTGCCGTTGATACACTCATCCAGATTTTAGCATCACTAGTAAGGCTTCAGGGTCTGATTCGATGCTTGCTGCGACATCTATGATTTTTTACACTGGAACAAAATCAGGCCTATGTACTTATCTAAATTAAATGAGAATTAGGACTGTTTTGGTTTAGATGTATAAATTCTCATAGCAAATAAGCTAAGACACACTAACAAGGTATAAATTATAACTGTTTAAGATATTCCCCTTATTTAGGTCTCTTAAACTACGGACATAAGGATGCACATGGAAAACAGGCTATACAGTTCCACATTAGTTTATATTTTCATTCCTTTTGTCATCATACATAAGCAAAATACCTAAAAGTCTGGGATGAATGCACGGTAAAAGAACACACTGGAAAAGAAAACTGTCTGCATTGGAATTACAGACACCAAAGTCTTTCCACTGTAAAAACAAAATTCAAAAAATGACAGATCCAAATACCTCAATCCCAGTCAACTTTGTTGTTGTATATTAACAAATCCTCTTCTGTGGCACTGAATATATTAAACCAAAGCAATGCATTCCTGTTGAAAAGACCAATTTTATTATTATTTTATTACAGTGATTTTATTACATGGCCATGATCTGGACCAGCTTTCAACCAGCACTGATTAAATGCAAATTCTGATATTCAGCACCACATACCTTCCACGTCGTAAAAAAAAAAAAGTATCAAACACTTCCCCTTTGTCACTGTCATTTAACATAAAAATTTATCTGCATGCTGGATATATGAAGTGTCTCTGAGAACAGCTTACTAGATCGCATACACACAGAAAACTCCGTGTGCACGGGCTAAGTAGGGCTGAATTAATGAGTGTACTGTTGCTTCACATATTGAGTATCTGTCTCTAAACCAATAATTTGCAAATGCAGAAGCAGGGACTGGGGGACGCACCGGCTGCAGCCACTGATGGCTCCCTCCACTGCAGTCTCAAGAAGCTAATCTTGCTCAGTCCAGAGTGCTCAGTCCATGTTCCTGGGAATGACTCAGGACATAAGCAATGAGACAGTCAGCATGTGTCCACATTTGGGGTTTTATTTCCACTCGTATCTGCCCTGATTTCCTTCCCATGAATGCTGCACTTGTGAAAGGCACAGCGTGACATCCTAAGAGACTTACATCTTCTCTGCACTAACAGACACAGTCTGGGTGGCAGCAGAAAAGCAAAAGCTTCCCTAGAGCATATACCAGGATTACCCACAAGAAGGGAGGACTACTTCTGGATTGAAGCTTTGGCCCATCGTCATCTATGGCAGAGCTCCCACTGAAGTCAGACGTAGCCAGGATTTCACCTCTGTCGCAGCGATTTTGAGTCCCTGCCCATTCTGCCTTGGGACTTCCAGCCAGCACAGTAAGGATTTTAACAGTGCCAGCAGCTTTTGTGTTATGAACTGCAGGCAGAAGTCGTGAAACCCTTCACATAAGCAACCAAATACTCACCAGACAGTCAAGAAATTTAAGATACTACCACCCTGTAAGGGATTCAAACCTGCATCCAGAAGTATGATGTTTCACATTGGCACACCATGCTAAAACAAACTTTATCCTAACCAACTTTCTGTCCTTCAGAAAAACCTGACTGTAAATACAAGCGATATGAGTGTAGTTGGCATGTGTCAGAAGACATTTGAGAACCCAGTACAAAAATACATCTGTAGTGGAACAGCAGCTACAAACTGCTCCTAACGAGCAACAGCTAAACACCCTAACTCTCTCCTAATTGCTCACTTCGTTGTATTTATTTGACAGAATCCATCAACCAGAGTACATCAGGTCACAACAGCACAACTTGATGGTAGGAACCATGACAACATAACCTGGTGGAATAGAAGGCCCTCGTGTCAGACACAGATTAAGCCAGCATTTAGGGAAACTGGGGGAGTTGAACCCTATCACTGTCCTGAGCACACAGGATATCACCACAAAAAGGTAACACCTGCATGCTATCAGCACTCAGGTGCAGAGCACAGTCATTAAGATGCCAACAGATGCTATGTTAAGAATCAAGCTTAAAAAAAAAAAAAAAAGGAGCAAAAATAAAGAAAAACACAGTATGATTTGCTGCTTCAATGCAAGTACATCCAACCTGCTGATTTTCTACAACACTAGCACCACCAAAGGATCAGGCAGAGTTTCTAGCCCGGCAGTACACTGGCTCCTACCTGGCTCTCTCAGTGAGACACCAGTGTTTTTTGAACACAAAGATCACACCTGTAAGCTCTCTCTCAGCAGCACTCTCCAAAGGAAAGCTGGCTCAGGAGAGATCATTCCCTCTCTCCTTCCATCCACCACCAAGTCCTCTCCAAGAAACAAAAGTAACTTTTTGTTCAACTGAGGGATAAGCCCTCTGTATGTCAACAGGAAGAAAAAAATAGAAAAGAAATAAAAAAAAAGACTGCCAAGAACTAGCCAGGCTATTTTGCCTTGTTCTTCTTTCTCAGTTAATGCTTGCACCCTCCCCACAACTGCTCCAGACCAGGAATAAGCCCTCAGCAAAAGCACACAGTCCAGGCAGCAACTAGGAACTGGTGCAGCACTTCTGCTCTGCACTTCTCATAGCTCACTCACTCTTGATCTTTAATTCATTTGCTGAGAACTCAAATCAGATTTCATAAAGCAAAGCATGTGCTAAATGAGAGAGAAGTTAAAATGCCTGTGCCTGGGAAGACTTTTTTTTCCTTTCTTTCCTTCTGCTGTACGGAGATTGGTTAAGGATCCATGAAACCGTGATCAAACGATGCACCTCTCTAAGCCTGTCTGACAGCACTGCAATGGGAAAGCAAATGAGTAAGAAGGAAAGCATGTATTTCCTCGAGTCTCTTCCATTTAACCAACCTTGATGTTTTAGTGCCTCTGCTGGGATGTCAGCGTTGACTTCTCTTTATGTCCCATTTACTTGCATTTATTTTAATTGGATCTGGGACTATGGACACTCGGCAACCCTTAATCCTCCCGACAACAAAGCAAGGGCACGAAGTTACCACGAACAATAACCAAGAAAAAGGGGGAAAAAAAACAAACAAACAAACAAAAAAACAACACAAAAAAGACACCCACTGATGTGTTTCTCAGGGCAGTGCTGCTCTCTTTTCCTCCTGCAAATAATCCAGCGGGGTTCAAAAAGCGAGAGGCTGGATTATTTCCCTTAATAGCAGAAGTTAGAGGCGGGAGAGCCACGTTTAACCCATGCCCAGCCGGTGCAGGTTCCCTCCAAGCGCCTCCCCACGCCCGCACCAACCCTTACACACGCACACAGGCTCACACGCACACAGGCTCACACGCACACAGGCTCACACGCACACAGGCTCACACGCACACAGGCTCACACGCACACAGGCTCACACGCACTCCCTCTCGGCCCGAGTGTTGGGTGTCCCGGGGATGCTGAGGGCTGGGGATCCTCCTGCCCTGCGGAGCCCGGCAGGGGTGGGGGGGCCACGGCTGCTCCCCCCGCTGCCCCCAGTCCAACCGTGCCTGGAAACGGGGAGGGCAAGGCGAGCCCTCCCGTCTAAAAACACTTGTAAAAAAAAAATATATATATATAGAGAGAGAGAGAGAGAATACGAACAGGCAGGTCCTCCGGTAACATCCCTCTCCCCCCAGCCCAAGCAGCTGCAGCCAGTCCCCAGGCTCAGCCAAGAGCAACTGCAGCTGAAGAGCAGCGACAGGCACGCACACCCCCTTTCCCTCGCCCGCTCCCTGCGACAAATAAAAAAAAATAAAAAAAAAGAAAACATTTAAAAAGCAGCGAGGAAAGAAATTTAGGAAATGAACACACAGCTCTTGCCTGCGTGCGAGCTGAAACCCGGTGCGAAGCAGGGAGCGAGCCCGGGGCAGCCGCTGCACCTTGCGGAGCAAAGCGGGAGAACGACGGGCCGGCGGCGGGGAAGGGGAGCGGGGGGGACGAAGGCGGGGAGCGGGGGGACGAAGGCGGGGAGCGGGGGGACGAAGGCGGGGAGCGGGGGGACGAAGGCGGGGAGCGGGGGGACGAAGGCGGGGAGCGGGGGGACGAAGGCGGGGAGCGGGGGGACGAAGGCGGGGAGCGGGGGGACGAAGGCGGGGAGCGGGGACGGCGCTCGGCTCCGCTTCCCCGGCAGAGCCCCCGCGGCAGAAGTTTTCCCCAAGTCGCGGCCGCAGCCCCCGGCTCCCCACGCGCCCCGCGGAAAGTTTCTCCGCCAGTTCCCCCCCCCCCGCGCCCCGCTCCCGAGCCCCAGGCGGGTACGCACCGGCCGGCTCAGCTCCGGGGGCTGCCCCGCGGCCTCCCCCGCCGGGTCTCCATGCCGCCCCGGACGCCGCTGGGGACCCTGGCGGGAGGGAGGAGGAGAGGAGCGGAAAGGGGGCGATGCCCGCCCGGCCGCCGCGCCGAGCACAGCGCAGGCTGCCGGGAGCGCGGCCCGCTCCCGCCTCCCGGCCCGCGGGGAGGGACCGCGCCGCCACCGCCCGCCCCGGCCCCGCCCGCCGCGGGGCTCCCACCGCCCCGGCCCCGGGGGGGAGGCGCGGAACCGCTCCCGAAAAGTCTCTCCCACCCCAAGAGATTCGCCCGCCGTCCCCCCGCTCCCCTCCCGCCGGAGGAAAGGCGTTGGCCGGGCGGGCAGTGCCGGCTCCGAGCCCGCCGGCGGCCTCCCCCGCCCCTGCCCCCTGAGCGGGGCCGGGGGAGCCGGGTGGCCCCCGGGGGAGCGGTCGCGAAGCGCTGGGCTCCCGGGCAGCCGCCGGCGTTGCGACTTGCCTGGGAGCGTAGGTAAGCTGCGGAGCCGCAGGTCTGTGACACCCCGCTGCCAAAGCTGCACCTCTCCGAGGAGCTGCTCCCTTTGCCTTTATTGGCGAGGAAATCTATTTAGTGCCTTCTGCGCCTTTGAACTGAGGTCCAAGTTCCCGTTCTGCCTGTTTTAATAGGGTGTTGTGATGAGGCACCTGTTTGATCACCCATTTGGTTCCCTCTGTAGCAGTGGAGCCGAGCCCTCTGCCTGACCAGGTATCTCCTTCAAGAAAGAGATCACTTTCACATCATTTTTTTTTTTTAAAAAAAAAAAAAAAAAAAAAAAAAAAAAAAAAAAAAAAAAAAAAAAAAAAAGTGACTAACTTCAGCTATTCCCTCCTCTGCAAGAGCTTTGACATGCTGCTAATTTTGTTTGTTTTCTAGTCTGCTGCTCTTTCACGTTGTCCATGCCTCTCACTTGGCTGCAGGTCACAACTGCTTAAACCAAAGTACAGGTAAGCAGGTCCCCGTGAGGACTGGCAGCTTAGTGCCCTTCACCAATTCCATAAAACACTCACATACCTCGGTAAATCTGCTGCTGTAATGTAGTGTGAAGGTGAAAAAACAAGTGAGCAAACAAAACCAACCAGCAACTGCACGCTAATCACAGGCACTAGGGTAATAATCACAAAGGAGGAGGGCATGGTCTGCACTGTGAAAAATTAGAAGGCAAATAAATACAAAAACTGCTTGTAAAATTTACCATCTGAAATTAAAAGTTCTGCAATGGAACCGTGTAATAAATACCAGCTTTGCCTAAAATCTACAATAGAGTTAATGATTCTGTTCCCACCACCTGGTTGCATTGGTCATGGAAGGTGATCTTGTGCAAGTCACCTTTCCTAGCAAGTTATTATCAATTGCATTAAAAAGCTATCTAGAAGTCACAAGAACAGATCAGAGCCTTACTGTGTCACTCGCTAAATAAACACAGTGAGGAGGTGTCCTGTTCCAAAAAGCTCATAATCCGCATCGACAAGACAAATTTAGAGTGGGAGGAAAATGTATTATGCTGCAGATGGTACTGAGAAAGAAACCGATTTGCCCAAGGTCATGCAGGAAGTCTGTGGCAGAGCCAAGAACTAAACACAACTCTCCTGAAACCCAGTCTAAAAATAGCGCTTGATAATTGCACATGAACTTCAGAAAACACACATTACACAGATAATCATCTTTTGACCAGTATTTTGGAGGTACTGGGCTCCATCTCATTATAATTTTCAACTGCACTGATAACTGAACGGTCACTTTCTAAATTTAAACCACATTATTTGAAAGTCTTCTATCCAGAAATTCATATAGTGGAACAAAAGGCACTAACAGATAGCATCTGGGCCAACGCAGATGCTTTCTGAGTGTGTCTGCTTCTGCTTCCCCCTTCCTGAGGGGAACCAGAAGGAGGCCCATGTCTGTGCCTTTGTCTCAGGAGGGGGAGATCCTGCTTCATGGTGTTTTTCTGAGGCTCCAAGGGGCTGCCTTGTCCATACCCACACTCTGTCTCATAGCAGTACCCTGGATTTGATCCCATATTCCACTATCCCCTGTTCATCCCCATTAAAATATTCCCTGGAATACAGTTTTAATCTGCTTTTATGGCAAACGCAAACCTGTCTCAGGTCTCAGAAGGTGCCTTCGCTGTGTCCTCTTCCTACTCCAGTTCCCTCTCACCCGTTTTCCTCACCAACACAGAGACATTTCTTGAGATGCAAAATCCACACAACTGGAAAACAACAGCAACATCGTGTTGCACCCTTCAGGCACCCTTACTTGTCACTTAGGAAAGCTATTTACACATACATTTAGTGAATGTTACAATGTATAAATGCTAATGAGTATTCGTAGAAGTAGTTAATGCAGTTTTCCTTATTAATCAATCCTATCAGCGTGGTAATGATTTCTGTTGTTCTTCTGGAGCTTCCTCCAGCAGGGAGTGAGCTCTGTTGATTAGCAAGACCATTTTGTATGTATATAACATTTTTGTTCATCTGTAACAGTCTCATTATCGTATTTTTTTCTCAAGGAGGTGAGCAGTTCCCAACTTATGCTTAAGGAATAACTAGGACAGAAGGAATTGCATTGTCTCCCACACCACCATTTTACAGTCGTGTATCTGTCAGGTTCAGTAGAATTTACACCTCTGTGACAGAGGATCAGGAGCAGGATGGCTGAGATGCCCCAAATCAGGTACCAAGTCAGTGATGGCCAGGAGCAAAGCTCCTAGCTCCACACCTCAGAACAATTTGCTATTTTGCAGCAGATCGTTAAAGGTAAACAGCTTCAAATGACTATTGGAAAGACAGTAACATAACTATCGTGTCTGATTAATAATGTCATCATGCTCTACAGATACAGACCAGGAAACAGCTTTTAGGTTCCTGCATCCCAAGTAGCAAGAATAATTTCTCTTCATTTTCCTGCCAAGATGATCAGATTCAAAAAGATGTGAGTAAACCACTGCGACAACAGCGTATTTTGCTTTCTCTTAACTCAGTAATTTACATTGAAATGATCATAAATAATTCAGCTAGTATAAATAAAAATAAATTCAAGCGGAAAGAAAAGGTTTTCCCAAAGAGTCAAGGTTCAGAAGACAGGAAGACAGGTTTTAGACCTGATGTTAACTGAACCAGTAGTGAGCTATTGAAGCTGAATCTCGGCATACTATCATAAATTATGAAACATTGACATTTCACTTTGAATTAATGCAAAGGGCTATTTATACAGTGTTTTAGAGACAGTTGCCTGGGTAAATTAATACACTTTTTCCTTCACCAGGCCAAATGTTAGCAACACTGCTATTTTTCAAAGTATCAAACTATTTGCATATTGAGAATGTTTTAATACAATCTGTCCCCCAGGGCTGCTGTGTGAGCTACTTTGAAAAGGTAATCAGTCATAATTCACGGGCTCCTTAATCTGAAATCTAACTTGATTCGGAATACTACCGATGATTTTCAGTGTGAGAGATTGCTCATTACCAGGGAATTGCTTTCTGTTTGTAGGGCCACAGGCCAACAGGCCATCAACTTGGGAAATGGCGTTCAATGGGCTCCGATTGCCTTTCTGGTCTTGCTACTAATAAAAGGTCTGGATAGCAGATAGAATTGAAGGAACTAGGCATAAGCACGTAACAAAAATATTCACTATACTTGCTTGAAATTCCAACTTTGAATGTGGCTACATACCAAAACATCTATTTATTGCTCATATGTATTGGCAATGGTTTTGTCTCTTTTTTTTTTTTTTTTTTTTAGGGGGAAAATTATAACACTCTAAAGTAACTTTTTGTGAGACTACTTTTTACAGATCAGTGTTTTAGGTGTCACTCCAGTAAAGCATTGGTTAATAGTATGCTTAAATATGTTAAACAAATGATTAAATTTACAAACTGTGCTTAAATGCTTCTAATTAAAATAATTATTTGAAATGTCATCCAAATTATACAAAAATCACTAGTCACTTTTAGCAAATTCCATGAGTTTCAGGTCCATCATTATGAACAAGATACTGTGGTATCTCCTTCTCAGAGCCTTTACTCAGAGGTAAAATCTCCTGAATGAGAAGTGCCTCAAGACTGATGTAAACAAGTCACAGTCCCATATCTCACAGGTGGGTTTCTCTCTATCTGATTCCCTGTAGAGAGTCAACCTCCTGATCATACCAAGGACTTGTGTACACATTTCTTGCAGCTTTTTTGCCTCTTCTTACTTCTCATGGATGGCAGTGGGTAACACTCGTACAGTGTTAAGAAAGTTAACAAATAGTGACAGTGCTCATAGACTTCTCTAGAAATGTGATGTGGTATCACAAGACAGCTCAATGGTGATGCCACCAGAAATTTGCTTTGAGGCCACTCTCTTGTTTCCTCAAAAAGCAACTCCTGCACAAATATTATTCAAGGGCATTTCATGGCCAGGGTCAGCAACAAAGGGGTTTGCAGCCTGCAGGTGCTACCGCAGGAATAATTAAGAGAATAGGTAAGGCACATAGCTAATTGCTATCTTAGCAGAGCTGTTCAACAAGATCTCCTGTTGATGCAGGAAACACTGCATCAGGGTTTTACCACGTCTCCATCTCGTTTAGAGACTGAAGTGAGATCACACAGAAGAAAAAAATAGGTTTTGACATTGAAGTATTTCTCTTGTATTATGCCAGATTGTGCCTTGCAGCACAAAACTATTAGCATTTATAGCAGCCAAACGTCAGAAGTTTGACTTAAACTCATAGAGTGAGGTCATCCCACGTAGAAGGGAAACATTCAAGCTGCTGCGCCTGCAATTTCCACCATTCGAAGAATAAAATAATATTTGTGAAGGACCAGGTCAGCTTTGATTGTTTAGCTTTGATTATTTAAGTTTGCTTTGCTCCTTGCTCTGTTTTGCTCATCCCAGCCATGCACAGCGCTGACTCCAAGAGGGGAGGATCAAACCCCCAGCCTCCCTTCACAGGGAACAGACCTGCCTGTCAAAGAGGGTTGTGGTGTCAGCAGTGAGCTGAAGGCAAATCGCGGGAGGTGGTGCTGGAACACTTACCCTCCGTCAGGGTAATAAGCTTCAGTTGATGCCTTGATCTAACACATCAAATCCTGTTCGCAGAA